GCTACCACCTAGGCTGGAGTGAGCCCAGCGAGGAGCTCGGAGCCGTCGTCCCGCTCTCTCTCTCTCTCTCTCTCGCCGTCCTGCTTCGTCGCGATCGCGGATGGACCTTGCGAAGGAGGCGTCTTCTCTGCCCCGTCGCCGGAGCTGCCGGCCTGGCCGTCCCGCTTCTCCGCCTCGCTTGGCTGCGGACCCCTGCCTCCGTGGATACCGCGACGCCCTGGGCTGCGGGCTCGCTCGCTTGGATTACTTGGCTGCGCGAGTCGACTCGGCTTCCTGAGTCGCTGCCCACCCCCCACTCCGCACCCCGCTCCCCAACAATGGAGGTGAGTATTGCTCGGGAGTGGAAGAAGCGGGCGGAGGGAGGAGGGGGCGTGGGGGGGGGAGCCCGAAACCCGCGGCTGCTGCTGCTTCGGAGAGATGCAGCAGGAGGAGGAGGCGGCGAACTTTGTTCCGCCAAACTTTGTTTCGAGGGTGAAATCGACTAGAAAGAGCCAGCCAGGGGAAGTAGCTGATTGGGGGGGGGCGCGCGCTGGCGGCTTCAGATTTCCACACACCGCTGGCGAAGATGAAACTGACGCGAGGCTCTTTCTGTCTCCTGCAAGGACCCCCTCCTTCCCTCCCTCCCTCCCTGCTTGGGTCTGGCCCCTCCGCAAACCTGTTGCTCCGAAGTACTTCGACCTCTCTAGGCCCCTGAAAACTGTGGTGGCTGGGGGTGGAGTGGGGGAGAGGAGATTGCCTCTTTGTCCTTTTTCTTGCGGATCCCTCCACATTTTTAAGACGCCTTCGTACCCCTCTACAGGGGCGCCTGGGGAAGGGGGGGGGGACATGGCTGCCGTGGAGGCTTGTACCTTTAAGAGCTTTTGGCAGATGGCTAGTGGGGGGGAAACACACACACACACCCCTCTAACACGGGTGGCTCCTTCTCCCTGCCCTCCAAATGCGGGTCTCCGCTCCTGCGTGTTGTCACTTTGCATCTCCTCCGGGCGAAGAAGACCAGGAGCTGCTCTTCCGGCCCCCCACCCCCTTGCCCCTTTGATGCTCCGGGGCTGGGTTGTGCAGAGCTTTGTGTGTTTGTTTTTAATTGTCGATTGTGTGCGGAATTAGTTGCAGTCGTGGGGTCAGCGAGAGTTCAGCGTCACCCAGAAAGTTACCTCTTCTCGGGGAGGCAGCGAAAGGTCCGGGATGGTTGCGTTTAAATTTGGTGGTGGTGGGGGGTGCAGAGCCGAGGAAACCCCCCCCCTTTCTCTGTCCCCCTTCGGAGTGGCTTTCCTTATTTCTAGACAGAAGCCCATAAAAGGTTGCACTACTTTGTCCTCCTTTCTTCCCATATCTCCCCCCCGCCGCCGCCCCCCCCCCAGCTGCTCTGAAGGCGGTGGGGATCGCTCCTGGCCAAACATCGCCTCGAAAGCCGTCGAGCCGGCCAGTCTGTGCAATTGTTCCTGCCTTTTACAACCCACCAGAGCCGAGGGGGCTCTCGCAGTCTGCGTGCCGACTTACCTTGGGCAGAGCTGGTCTTAAAAACAGCGGCCATAAAACCAGATGCCCCAACAAACTTTCCAGACCCCCCTAGTGTTTGTGTGTGTGTGAGTGAGAGAGAGAGAGAGCCACCCAGGGATTGCAGGCGGAGAAGCCACCCTGGCTGCTGCTGGGGAGGGGGGCAGATCTGTAAAAGAGCTCGTTTTCCTCGCAGGCTGCTCCGTGCGGGGCCGCCTTTGAAAACTGGCTCTCCGCAACCGTTGAAATGGGTTTGTCCGTATAGACAGGATTGAGAGCGGCGAGCTGGAGCGGTCTCTGGAGGAACTAAGCTGCTTTTTAAAAAATATATTAAATGGATAGAATATTCATGGTTGTGAATATTCCATTTAGGGGATTTCTCTAGTTGAGGCTGACTCGAGCAATCTCAAGAAATAGTTAAAAAGAAAAACGCGGCCGGGGAGGGGGGGGAGGCTGAAGAAATGAATCTGGCAGTCGCGGCAGCACATCTGCGTTTCGCGGTTATGGCTGCCCCCTGTTGGTGGAATGGCGGAATGGCTTTCCCTTGAAGCCGGGCGGCGAGGTTCGCTTTGCTCACCAGCCGCTTCTTCTCCCCCCACATGCACAAAAACAAAACAAAAAAACCCTCTACCGGTTAATTTTTCTTTCATTCTCATGAGCCATTTTAAAAAAGCAGAGCCGCGTGTGATCGCCGTAAGATTTTTTTTCCATTAACACCCCCCGTCCTTTAAAGATAACTTTCTTTTTTTAAAAAGGCCTTTTATTCGAGAGACAAAGCCAGCCCGGATCCAAGTAAAGTTTCTCGATCCGGCAGCCCGTCTGTCAAAGCCGTGAGTTCCCTGTAGGCGACCAATGGTGCAGCTTTTCTTGGGGTGGGGGTTGGCTCTGAGCCAGCTGTGCCCTCCGCACCGCCTGTGGCTAGTCGAGGCGCGCGGATTTCTTTCTAAGAAGATCCGGAACGGGGGTCAGTCTTGCCGAGGACAGACGGAAGCCGAAAAGTGTTTGTCTCTGGCATGTGGGTTTGCGCCGGAGCCTCTGGCTGCGGGGGCAGCGCGTCGCCCGGGGGGAGAAAACTTTCTTGGTAGTTTCCATCCACGGAGCGCGGGCCGGGCCGGTTGGTTAGATGCCCTTCTTGGCGCCCACTGCTCCGGTATCCTTCGGCCGTCGTGCCGGTCCCCGGAGACACCGGACGATGATGCGATGCAGGCCGCAGCACCCCGCTAGCCCTGCCTCCTTAGGCGCCGAGCCTTTGACGGGTTCCACATCGCTTACTCTCCCAGTAACCCCTGAGGTAGGTAGGAAGGTCCCTGTAGGGCGGGCTGGGGAACTGAGGCTCGGAGGCCAGGCCAGGACTCGGTGGCAGAGAGGGGCGTCTGGAACCTGCCGCGAAGGACCGCGCTCCCGGTGGCAGACCACCCTGGCTCTCCACGCCTCGACGGGCGTCGGGGCTTCCTACGCGGTGGCCCCTCGGTCGGCTTGGCAGCTCCCGGATTCACAGTAGTCCCCTGCAGAGCTTCTGACCGGGAAAGGGGAGATCAATCGGACCTCAGCCATTGGTCAGATGGAAACGCGCACTCTCCGGCCTGTTCGCCCGAAGTCCTGCTGCCTTGGGTGTGTGTTGAATTGGGGGGGGGTTTTGCTCTGCCGGAATAAATGGGCTGTTTGGGGAGGGGAAGGAGCCGTGTGTCGGGTGGGAAGCGTAGTTTCCTCAGTTTCCCCTGCGAGGCCCTTTCCTAAAAGCCCCCCCCCCCCTTTACATGCTCGGGCTTGTGAAGGCAAAGGGAGCTTTACGGTGTCCAACTGACCACCCCGAAGACTGGGGAGGTGCCTCCAGGAACGGGTGAAAGAGAAACTCGCTTGGCTGAGTTAATCCCCCTCCCCGGTCGAAGCGCTTTTGAGTGCGGCCGATTCCCCCGGGCTGAGCTCGAGAGAAGAAGCGCCCCGGCGGACAAGGAGCCGCGCGGCCAGTCGCTTCAGCTGCCGCCGTGGAAAGGGCTCGAGGACTGGGCAGTCGTCCGGAGCCAGGAGTCCCGGTGACCGAAAGGCGGCTTGCCTCGGAGTAAACCGGCGGAAGTCCGAGCACCTTGGAGGAGCCGGTGGCTTGACGGCTGCTGCAACGATTCGTTGAAGAGCCAACCTGGAAACCGGAGGGGGGGGGGAGTCTCTTTGTTCGTCTGCTTCTGAGAGCACTTCGGCCGTCGTCCTTTCTGTGATCGGAGCCGATCAAGAATCCAAGACTGAAACCCTGGACGGCAGTAAACCCCACTGGACCCAAATGGAATTGGCAAAGGAGCTGCGTGCACTCCTGCCCCCCTTTGGATTGTCGAGCGAAACCGCCCGTGTCCCACAGGAGAGACTTAAACGCCCTCCACGTCCTGCTCCGTGGCTCCACGGACAGAATCGGCGCGGGAGGCCAGGCGAAAAACGAAATAAACCCCTTTGGGATGCGCCAGGCCAGGGGAAGAGCTCCTGTAAACAACTTGGGATTTGTACGGCGCTCTGGCCTCCAACGCGCAGCTTCGCGCCGCGGAAATCAGGCGGCAGCGCTCCAAGCCACTTAACTCTCGAGTTGTTCCCTTGGCTTCTTCAGCCGTGCGCTCCGGCCCCGCGAGGCCCGCGGCTCTCCCCTCCGGGATTCGCGAACCGCCGTCCAAACGCTGCTGGAACTGTCGGCGGGTCCGGGCTCCGGAGTGAGAAGATACCGGAGGACTCTGGGGCCGAGTCTTGCCACCTCGTGGCCGAGTTCTGGGCCATCACAGCAGTTCGAAGCCCCGGGTGGGGGTTGGTTAAGTGCTTCCGACTTACGGCGACCCTATGGATTAATGACCTTAAAATATCCTCTCCTTAACAGCCATTCTCAGGTCTCGCAAACTGAGGGACGTGGCTTCCCTAAAGGAGTCAGTCCATCTCATGGCAGGGGTGGGGGGGACGGTGGAAAAGGTCCGCCTTGGGATGTTTCTTCTCATCCGGTTTCGCGTCCTTTAACCATTATTGGGGGGGGGGCGAGAGGGGCGAAGCCTCCCCCCCCCCCATCCCCTTGGAAAGGTTTTTTAAC